TGTCTATTCCATGCAGTATTTTCTATGTTGTTATCGTGTCTCCCCTATCCCTCCTGTCCTCCAGTGTCATCAGGCCGATTTCCCTCAGCCTTTCTTCATAGGACATTCCCCTTAGCTCTGGAACTAACCTTGTCACAAACCTTTGCACTTTCTCTAATTTTTTAATGTGCTTGACTCAGTGTGGGTTTGAAACTGGTGCTGCATACTCCAGTATGGGCCTGACGTACACGGTGTACAGTGTCTTGAAAGATTCCTTACTTAGGTATCGGAATGCTAATCTCAGGTTTGCCAGGCGCCCATATGCTGCAGCAGTTATCTGGTTGATGTGTGCTTCCGGAGACGTGTTCGGTGTTTTACTCACACCAAGATCTTTCTCCTTGAGCTAGGTTTAAGGTCGTTGGCCACCTAGCCTATACTCTGTCTCTGGTCTTCTTTGCCCTTCTCCAATCTTCATGACTTTGCATTTGGCAGGGTTGAATTTGAGAAGCCAGTTGCTGGACCACGTGTCCAGCCTGTCCAGGTCTCTTTGAAGGCCTGCCTGATCCTCATCTGATTTAATTCTCCTCATTAACTTCACATCATCTGTGAACAGGGACACCTCTGAGTCTATCCCTTCCCTCATGTCATTCACATATACCAAAAACAGCACTGGTCCTAGGACCAACCCCTGTGGGACTCCACTCGTCATAGGTGCCCACTGTGATACCTCATCACTACCATGACTCGTTGTTGCCTCCCTGTCAGGTATTCTCTGATCCATTGAAGTGCCCTTCCCGTTATATGCGCCTGATCCTCTAATTTCTGCACTAATGTCTTGTGAGGAACTGTGTCAAAGGCCTTCTTGCAGTCCAAGAAGATGCAATCAACCCACCCCTCTCTCTCGTCTCTTACTTCTGTTACTTTATCATAAAACTCCAGAAGGTTTGTAACACAGGATTTGCCTTCCATGAAACTGTGCTGACTGTCATTTATACTTTTGTTCCATTCCAGGTGCTCCACCACTCTCCTCCTGATAATCTTCTCCATGACTTTGCATACTATACACGTCAGTGTGTGTGTGTGTGTGTGTGTGTGTGTGTGTGTTTGTTTTCTTCTAAATGTGCTGAGTCAGGGTTTGGCAGCTGTCAAAATGACACATTATATCATTACTCACTCCCCCACCGCCTGTCAACACAATGGGGTCTGATGCTTGCTTCCCAACCATCCTTCTTTTTCTCTCTCTTTTTCTCCTTCTTTCTCCATTTTCTCTTTCTCCTTCTATTTATCTTCTTTTTCTTCCTATTTCTTTCTCTTTATTTCTACTTTCTCTTTCTTCCTTTTTCTTCCTTTCTTTCTTCTGGTATCCTGGGCATTGCTTTCAGTCACAAACTCCTCAAAACCGTGAAATTCATCTTCACTGACACTTCCCTCTGTGCTAGATTTATCACTTGGGAAGAGAAGAGGCCCAGATTCGCCTGGGAGTCAGATATTTCTTACCACTAGGCATGCTGAACGAGATCTGCTGAAATGGTGTTCCTACAATGCACCACTGGCTCCAGAATTTTTTTTTATAGTGTGCACACTGACCAAGGAGACCCATTCTCTCACATATTGGCCTACCAGCTTTCTCCCGCTTGATTAGAAGCCGCTAGAATTTACGCATATTAATACGTCGGAAACACTGGCTCGAAAGACATATATATATGGCCGAAACAGTGAAAGGGTTAATAGACCAAACAGAGGTAACCTACATTTTAATATAAAATTGCATACATGTAAGCCTACAAGTAACAAACAAAATTTGTATATCACCTCTGGAAAGTACATAGTCACAATACCACTTGCTTTAGTGACTGTGAAATGATTTATTAATTCACTAACATATTACATCCAAAACCCCCTTTTTTTTTTACTTCATGTTATGTGTACTTGACAAGCCGAGATTGGATTACACTCTAGCGTGGGGCCCTTTTAACCCTTTGACTGTCGCAAGCCCATTTCTGAAACTGTCATTCTATGTCGAAAAATATTAAAAAAAAAAAAAACAATCATTTTTGCTTACCAAAATGTTAGGATTATTTTACTTGGTGTTTTAAGCCTAAAAAAATGTTTTTGCCATCAGTACTTACCGAGATATAGAGGCGCAAAGTTGTCACAATAATGTCATCTTCACTCTCAGGTTGTGGTGTAGGGCCACAGGATGTACTCCGAGATTTACTCCTTTGCTTGGAAGGGCATAAGGCACACTACCAGAACGCATGCTGCATCGTACATACTGCCATTTCACTGGAGAATATTACCCCTCACTGTTGCAAATCAAGCTGCTTTCAATAACTTTGGAATCACTATCAATATCACTTTCACTGCTCAGATCCAAGTCCTGTAAACGGGGAAATAGTTTCCTTTGTCGTCGTGGTACAGGTGAATGTGAATGAGACAGCCCAGCACCAGAGGTGGAAGGTTGTGGGTCATCTGGGTTTTCATCACTAATTACGTTATCCTGGGCACTGCTTTCGGCCACACCCTCTTGAAAACCATGGAATTCACTTTCACTGGCACTTCCACCTGACGTTACTATATAAGCGTCAGGCGCCTTGCTTCTGCTTCAGAATCTCCACGACTGCGGTGCTCTTCACACCTACTGCTAGGTTGAGGGACTGATTACCTCATCTTCTGTACATAGTTCACCTGTCTTCAAGTTATGTCCTGGAATTTGTATTGATAAAGCCACTGGATGGCGAAACATCTACAATAAAAATACCCAGATGTTGCACATGTGTCTCAATACTACCAAGATGGCATTCCCACAATGCACCACTGAGTCCTAGATTTATTTCACAGGGTGCACACCCACCACACAGACCCATTCTCTCACATGTAGGCCTACCAGCTTTCTCCCGCTTGATCTGAAGCCGCTAGAATTTACGAGTATTAATACTTCGGAAACAATGGCTCGTAAGTGGTATATATACGACCGAAACAGTCAAAGGGTTAAGTGAGGCCCAATTGGAAGCAATCGGTCCAATCACCTTAAGGCTAGCCCTGAATAATATCAGCACATTTGTGAATGCACATTAAACCCACCAGTTGCTGTGTATTGAATATGTGACGTGATTTGTTTACTCTTGAACATCATCAAAAATCGAACATTTCCACTCACTTTCAAACTACTTTTGGTCAGTAAATCATTCAAAATTACTCTATTCTGTAACATATTTTCCAGTCTATCAAGCGAGACCAAGAAAACGAGAATACAACCATAAATACCATACAAAAATACACCTCAAATTTGCTGTTTTAAACCCAAAACACGGTCACAGCTTTTTCTCATTATGCACTGCTTGCCACAGGATTTTTTTTTATACTGCACACACACACCCATTCTCTCATAGGTAGGCCTACCAGCTTTCTCCCATAAGATTTGAAGACGCTAGAATTTTGACGTAGTATTATGGGACCGACACTGGCGGGATTAAAACATTAATACAGGTCAGCCATTGCTAATCTGGCAATCACTAATCTAGTTCCATCACTAATCAGGCACTAATTTCAGGAAGCGTAATTTCAAATTTCCCTGGTCACCTCACTAACCTGCTGTAGTTGCTGCATAAACAACTGTTGATGTCACTTGCAAACATAGGGTAGCCATTCCAATTTTTCTCCATCTGTTTTAACTTGCTAACTTTAATCCCAGCCATGGTTCCAATGAATACAGGATATGGTTCTCGTTGTGTAAAGTGCATAAAGTCCATAAAACATAAGGCTGAACTTCTGAAAAACTTGAAAGACATTGAGAAACAACACAATAAGTGTCTGGGGCCCAAGACTGTTCAACTGCCTCCCAGCATACATAAGGGGGATTACCAATAGACCCCTGACTGCTTCAAGAAGGCACTGGACAGACACCTAAAGTCAGTACCTGACCAACCGGGCTATGGTACGTATGTCAGTTTGCATGTGGCTGACAGTAACAGCTTGGTTGATCAGACCTTGATCCACCATGAGGCCTGGTCTCAGACTGAGCCGCAGGGGCATTGATCCCCGAAACCTTCTCCAGGTAAACTCCAGCAGTGTGTCCAAGAAGCTTGTGTGAATTATAGAGTACTGGCTCTTCCACAGTTTATGACAAGGAAACAAAGAAAAATTACTCAGTTTCTTTGCTAACAGTGATTCAAAGAAAGAGCTGTGTAAAAGGAAATCAATGAAGGAAGGAAAAAGTTTGGAACTAGATCAAGTTCTGATGAAATGGCTTAGGCTACGTATAAGTGAAGATATTGATTTGTAAATTTTAGCTCTTCACTTTGGAAGTGGCAGTGACGAACTTTCTTGTGTAAGTAAAAGTGATTAATTTTATTAACCCTTTCATTGTCGGTCCCACTGTATCATGGCTATGATGCCACTGTTGGTCCTGTAGTATGACGCCATGAACTCAGCTCATTCAGATAAGCTGTGACCAGTAAATTTGGGCCTAGAAACGAGAGAATATGTCTGTGTGGTAAGTGTGCATTATATAAAAGAAAGTCCTGCAGCATGCAGTGCATAATGAGAAAAACTGCGGCTGCATTTTTGGTGTAAAACAGCAACTTTGCAGTGTATTTTTGTATGGTTTTTACGGTTTATTCACAGTTTTTTGGTCTCAACTGATAGAATGGAAGATACATGTATATTACAGAAATAGAGATTATTTTGATTCGTTTTAGAATGGTAAGTACTTTGAAATTGAGCTCAAAGTATTTGAAATGTTCAATTTTTGCCGATATTCAAGAGTAAACAAATCACGTCACACATCCAATTCATGTTCAACTGGCCAGTCTAATATGCGGTCACGAATGGGTTGATGTTACTGATACACAGTGGACCCTCGGTTATCAGCCGTAATCCGTTCCAAAAGCTTGACCTAACACCGAAATGGCCGAAAACCAAAATAATATTTCCCATAAGAATTAATGTAAATACAATTAATCCATTCCAGACAAAAATATAAAAATAATTTTTTTAACAATTAAATCAATATTACATACCTTTATTGAAGACTAATGCTGGCTTCTGGAATGCCTGTTACACTTCCTGCATGCCTGCTACACTCCCAGCATGCCTGCTACACTTCCTGCATGCCTGCTACACTTCCTGCATGCCTTCTACACTTCCTGCATGTCTGCTACACTCCCAGCATGCCTGCTACACTCCCTGCATGCCTGTTACACTCCCTGCATGCCTGTTACACTCCCTGCATGTCTGCTACACTCCCTGAATGTCTGCTACACTATCTGTATGCCTGCTACACTCTCTGCATGCCTGCTACACTGCATGCTTAAATTCCATGGTGTTTCTCACTTTCTTTACCACAGGAACTTCACTAGGAGCTTTCTTTGGAGCCATGGTTACTTATTTCACAGTTGCACTGCAAAAAACCACAAAAAACAAGGGAAAACAAGCAAAATGTTTGAATGTATGAACAGAAACTTCCTCATGCACTGAAAGACACAGCCAAACTAATGCACAAGCAGCCCCAGCCGGCGGACGGACGCGTCCGAAACGGCCAACCACCGAAATAACAGCCGATCACCAGGAGCCGAAAAACCGGCCGATCACCGAGTTGGCCGATAACAGGAATGACCAATAACTGAGGGTCCACTGTATACAATTATTACTGCAGTAATCTGCATAACAGAAAATCTTCTATTTTTTGTGTGAATAACAATTCAGAATGAAAAGCAAACATAATATAAAAGGGACCTGGAGATGTGGCTAATGAACAGAGAAAATGTTATTTTAGTGCTAGGAATGTCTGCATTGTTTATTCTGGACACTACAGCCTCTCCTCATTTAGCGACGTATAATGAACCCCCGCCATTCGACAGCCGTGACTTTCGTGAAATCCGAATTTCGGCAACTTTTTTCACCAAAATATAGCCTCAAGGCTTATGCAATTGAGGATATTGAAGTGAGTCCTCCAGAACTCTCTTAGGGTCAATTCAGTGTCCAAGGTCACTTCAAAGCACCTTTGAAATGCTGCTTGGTGTAGAGTTTTTTGAAGTTTAAAATGATCTGCTGGTCTATGGGCTGGATGAGAGAGGTGGTACGTATTAGGGGGGCAAGAACTTCACTGTGATGAACTTACACTCCTCAAACAATAGGTCTTCCAAGTCTGGAGGATGAGCAGGAGCATTGTCCAGTACCAGGAGGCACTTGAGTGGCAAATTATTTTCCAGGAGGTATTTCTTCACACTCGGGCCAAACACTTCATTGACCCACTCAATGAAAATTAGCCTTGTGACCCATGTCTTATTGTTAGCCCTCCACATCACACACAATTTACTCTTCATGACATTGTTTTTCTTGAACACTCTGGGATTTTCAGAGTGATACACAAGTAAAGGCTTCACTTTGAAATCCTCACTAGTGTTACCAGAGAACAAAAGGGTTAGCCTATCCTTCATAGGCTTGTGTCCTGGCAGTGCCATTTCCTCCTGCGTGATGTAGGTCCTCTCTGGCAATTTCTTCCAAAAGAGGCCTGTTTTGTCACAACTGAACACTTGTTGAGGAAGGAATCCTTCAGCCTCTATGTAATCCTTGAATTCACGCATGAATTCTTCAGCCACACGTTTGTCTGAACTTGTAGCCTCACCATGCCTTACAACACTGTGTATGGCACTACGCTTCTTGAATCTGTCGAACCAGCCTTTGCTGGCCTTAAATTCACTAATAGCAGCACTCGTTCCCAGCATTTTCTTTATGGGATCTGCCTTGCCTTCTCGTAAATTATCCCCTCCGAAACACTATCTCCCGCTAATTGTTTTTGGTTGATCCACACTAACAACTTCTCCACATCCTCGATTGTTTGAGACCTTTGTTTTGTTAGCATATTTACACCTTTTGCAATATCAGCTTCCTTGATTTCTGCTTTCTTCAACAGCATGGAACTGATTGTTGATGTAGATTTCCCATAAATCCTTGCCAGCTACACCACACGTATGCCACTTTCATGTTTTGCAATAACTTCTTTCCTGAATTCTATTGTGTTTCTCACCTTTTTTACCAAAGGGCTGGCACTCTGAGCTATCTTTGGCCCCATGGTGGCTTATTTCACAGATGCAATCAATAAACAAGCACCAGAAACAATGGATGAACACGCAGAGTATTCCTTCCCCAACAAGAGAGACACACAGACTGAGTGTGATATGTGTGAGGAAGCGCATCGCCAGCGGGTGGACACGTCTCATACCAACAACTTCCAGGCGGATGGCCGATAATGGGATGGGGGGATTTCGCTGAAAAAAGTGCTCAATTTCCGAATTGGCTGATTTCTGCACTGGCCTATATCCAGGGGTCCACTGTACAGGCTTTTTCCTCACTATTCATCTTTGAATGACCCACATTTATCCACTTAAAATTACATGACACTAAAGACATTAAATCCTGGGCACTTGGGGAGTAGAGAAATGCAACAAAACACCTATCTCAAGAGGCGATACATACCGTAGTCTCTGGAATTAACTCAAAGAGTTTACAGATACCCAAGAAAACATTTAGATGTAGTATAGCAACAAATACACAATATGAATCCAGAGCACATGATACTGTTTATAATGGAGACAGATCCAGCAGGTTACAAGGCATAAAAGTAACCAAATGGCTTGCTGATAAAAATATTGAGGCTTTACAGTGACCTGGGAATAGTCCAGGGCTCTACCCTATTAAGAATTCCTGAAATATGAAAAAAAAAGATGGAATTCTGGGTCACTGTACCTACTCTGCCTTCTATCACTTGTACATTGCAAAAATTTCTTGTGTGCTCTTTTTTTCTACTTTACCAACCCACTTTATCTTATTATTCCACCATTCAGTCCTCTTGCCACCTGCACCCACTCTCCTTTGACCACAATTCTTTGCTGCACACTCCAGCAATGCATTTGTAAATTTAACCCATGCCCCTTTGACCTCATTTCTGGCACTTTCTCTAGCCCACCTTTCCCCCAATAGTAGTTTATATTGTTCCAAACTGTCTCCTTTCTTAGTTCATTTACTTTCATTACCCTCTTGCAAACTACTACCCATCTCCTTGTGCTCCATCTACCCCTTTACTCTTACTGTAGCTACCAATAAATAATGATCAAACATATCTGTCACTCTTCTTAAAACATGCGCATCCATAAGTTTAGTAATTATCATACTGTCAACTAGAACATTGTCTAACAAACTGCTATCATTGTGCCCTATATCATATTTTATATACAGTGGAACCTTGACTTACGAGTCTCCCAACGTACAAGTTTTTTGAGATAGGAGCCATCCCTGGGTCAATTTTTTGCTCTGAGTTACAAGCCAACATTTGAGTTACGAGCCAGCTTCCCCTGCTTCCCCACCAACACAAAACCTGGACACCTCGCTTGTTTATCTATGATTTTATGCTTTAATTCCATTCTCTGGAAATCATCCTCTTTTTCTTCTCAGCATTGTCCTTTACACTTACTTTCTTAGGACCCATGCTTAGAAAAACGAAATCTGGCCAAATGACTGACAAAAATGTAAGCAAAGGATGAGAGAACCGCTCCTACAGCGAGATAAACAGTGCACTGAGTTGGCGGTGCTCGTTATTATTATACAGTAATAATAATAATAATTATTATTTTTATTTTATTATTTTATTATCACACTGGCCGATTCCCACCAAGGCAGGGTGGCCCGAAAAAGAAAAACTTCCACCATCATTCACTCCATCACTGTCTTGCCAGAAGGGTGCTTTACACTACAGTTTTTAAACTGCAACATTAACACCCCTCCTTCTGAGTGCAGGCACTGTACTTCCCATCTCCAGGACTCAAGTCCGGCCTGCCGGTTTCCCTGAACCCCTTCATAAATGTTACTTTGCTCACACTCCAACAGCACGTCAAGTATTAAAAACCATTTGTCTCCATTCACTCCTATCAAACAAAGCTCACGCATGCCTGCTGGAAGTCCAAGCCCCTTTGCACGCAAAACCTCCTTTACCCCCTCCCTCCAACCTTTCCTAGGCCGGGCCCCTACCCCGCCTTCCTTCCGCTACGGACTGATACACTCTTGAAGTCACTCTGTTTCGCTCCATTCTCTTCTGTCGAACACCTCAAAACCCTTCCTCGCCCTTGGACAACGTTTTT